TATCTCATGATCAGAATTGAATATTTTAGCAGAGAGGTATTAATGAATATCTTCTTTATCTATATAAATGCAGCTTTCAGTGTCTGCTGATTATTGAAATACTGTATCTTTCTTAGTAAGTTCTGTAAGTAATCTCATAATATCTGAGAAGTTTTATATAAATCACTGATAGAAGTTAGCAAATCTGATGAAGCTTTATACATCTTTTACAGTGCACAGAGTCTTCTATTCAAGAATAGCAGAGACCTTCTCAGAATTCATTCAGATTTTCTTGTCAGCTTCTATGATAAAACCTAAGTATTTAGTACTCTTGACTTTGAAATCACACTTGTTAATATCAATTAATAGTTCTGCTTCTTATAGTCATTATAATACTCTTTATACATACTCTTGATATTTCTTTCTGAATTTATCAGTGAAGATGAGAATGTTATCTAGATAAGTAGATACAAATTCATCAAGAAAGTCTCAGAGTGCTCAGTTAATATACTTCTGAAATATACTAAGAGCATTGATCAGTTCAAAGAGTGTGACTACTTAGTCAAAGAGATTATATCATGTTCAGAATACTGTAAGTCACTCATCTTCTTCAGTAATATGAATCTTATGAAACACAGTGATAACATCTAACTTTGTAAATCATTGAGCTTGTTCAATATAAGCTAGAGTTTCATTAATAAGAGATAAAGAATAACAGTCTTTCTTTATTAATCTGTTCAATTCTTAATAATTCATACAGAACTGAAGTTCTTTATCTGATTTCTTTACAAAGAGAATAGAGACTGCAGTGAAAGAGTTATTAATACATATAAATTCTTTATTTAACAGATTATTGAGTGTCTTTTGAAGAAGAAGAAGTTCATCTCAGAACATGTTATAAAGAGAGTCTTATAGTAATTTAAGATTCTTATTATTCTTTTTCTCTAACTTAATACTGTGATTCACTTCAGAATCTTATAAGAGAAGTATATTTATAATATTATCTTATCAGAAGATATCTAGATATTCATGATATTATTAAGAGAGTTTTGTATAAGAATCTGTTATTATAATATAAGATAACTTTTCTAGAGCCTTTTTAATATCAGTTAGACTGATGAAATAGATTGATATATGATTCTGCTATCAGTGAACTTATTAGTAATTCTGTCAGTGATTTTGATAATGACTTCTTTTTCAGAGTATTTTATAAGTGTTGACAGAGATCTGTGTAAGATTCATAGTCTTGTGAATATCATCTTTATGAATTCTGTCATTATTAGAGAATATCAAGCTTCTGTTTTAAGTATTCAGTAAGATGTCTTATTCAGATAGTCAGACAAGTTCTAATATAAGATTATAGTCAAGATTATTAACTTTATATGTATAGATATCTTCATATTAATGTTCTTTCATATCTATGTTCAGTTTTATTATATAACAGATATAAATATTCTTTAAATTATCAAATTCTGCAAGAAGTTGAGATTTTAATAAAGAGATACACTGAAGATTATAATATCTTATAACTGAAGATTTTATTATTACATAGTAATATAGACTACTGTCTATCATGGCTTTTATATTATACATATTATTAATTATAGTAGATATAAGAATTGCATTCATTGTCATTTTCTCTTCAAATTATTATTGTTCAATCTCTTCAAGCTTCTGTTTATAAATTTGAATAGAAGCTAATCTTTTCTCTGTTTCACTGAGATATTCTTATAGTTATCTTTCAAATCTTTCTTCACTGCAATGTGATTAATGTGAACAGACACTGATTCATCTTTTAAATAAGAAGATACTGATCTTTCTCTTAATTAAGAAGGTACATAGATTGATCAGCAGTTGAAAGCAATGTGCTCTGATCAGTTACAGTTAATACACACTTCTTATTGATATCAATTAATGACTTCTTTGAGAGTGATATTAGAAACTTGAAAGCCTGTTCAGACAGCAGAGACTCTTGCTTATATATAGATATTCAAGTCTACTCAATTCATAGCATCTGCATCATTGTTATTCTTCAGTGTAAGTATATAAGTTACTGAGATATAACATCTTCTATCACTGTTCTGTATACTCTTGAGCTTGATAAGATGATTATTCAATGTCTGAAGCTGTGTACAGAAGTCTTTATAAGTCTGATCTTTGTCTACACTTATAAGAATCTGTAAGAGTTTGAAAGTTAATGTCTTCTTAAGTATACTAATCTTTATTCAATTCTCTCAAGATTGATCTTCTACTTCTAGAATTTTAATGTTAAAGTCAGAGATAAATGTTATAAGAGAAGTGTTTCTCTGTCAGATATTCTATAATCAATCTAATACTTTCTATTGTATAACAGTGTCTTGAAACAGAATATCAAGATATTTAATAATATTGTCAGATGTTTATAACACTGATTCACATACTTTTATCTATGAATGAAACTTCTATTTCATATAATTCTTTAATTATTCATTGATATATTAATCTTGATTAATTAGTGAACTGATAGTATCTTTATCTACACTCAGTTTCATAAGCATTTTCATTCTTTATAATGAGTAGAGAGTGAGATCAGAAGTATTAAAATATACAGAAGTATCTAAGTATTCTTTCAGTGCTTTTATATTTAATTCTGTAAATGTTGAAATTGTCTGAGTTTCTTATTATAATAATTATTAAATCTCTTCATATTGATATTATTGAGTTGCATGTATATTAGCTATTTATTACTGTTATAATTTCAACATTACTCAGAGTCACTGTGATATTACTTCTATACTTGTATTCAAGAGTTCTCTCATATTATCATTAGATATGATTATTGATTGTCAGATGTGTAATTATATAAATATCTTATATATCTGAGTATCAGAACTCTCAGATCTTTCACTGACATTCTTTTATAAAATCTTACTCTCTTTATAAGATCTTGTTACAGGGTCAGAATAACTGATAAGCAAGCTTCTATCTGAGAACTTAATATCTGCTTTAACTGATTGTTTCTCTTTCTTATATGTTGTTACATGTTCAGATATCTCTTGATAAATAATTGTTTCTAATGAGAAGATAATGCATGAATAATCATTTCTAATAAGAAGATGATGAATATTTTTCTAGTATAAGAGATCTACACTGAATAGATCAGTATAATATTGATAGGTCTTATATAACAAAGAGAAAAATGTTAGAGAAGAAAAGAAAGAGAAAGTGTGAGAATCAGCAATCAAAGTGAATATTTATATGTGTATGTGGTGATGTATGTGATGATGCTTCGGGGCGGAAGAATATACGCGTGTTTGTAGCGGCTGAGGATCGGTGATTGGAACATACACGTTCGTGGCGGCCGAGGATCGGCGATCGGGAATGGGGCGGTAGGAATCTATGGAGTGTACGGAATAGTCTATATGATTGATCGGGCGCAGCCCGCCACAGAATGTATAGATTGTAATGAATGTAGAGAAAAGTATAAAAAATGTAAATACAGTAAAGAATATCTATAAAGAAAAGAATGAAGATTAATTAATATCAGAGTTATATAAACTACAGAGCTGACTGTTTAATCTTATCAAATGAATTTGATAAGATGTATATAATATTATATAAGATTATATTACAGAGTATTTTACTTGAAAAAGTTAATTTTTCTATAATATATAGAGAGATAATAATAATAATCGTAATAATAATAGACTATAAATCTTAGATTTTTAATACTGAATTATTTTACAAAAATAAAAGCTTTTAAATTAATTAAAATAAAATTTTATAAAAGAGCTGATTTAAAAAAATAATATAAATATTTTTAAATTTTTAAACTACTCTGAAAAAGAATAGAAATAGTTTAGATTCAAAATAATTAAATATTTTTTTTTAAAAACAATTTTAAATTTTATTAAAAAAATTCAAAAAAAGTAATATTTTCTCTGTAGTAAATTTCTACTTATATAAATATACATAATAATAAAATGACTAGACTGATTAGCAGAATCATGAATTATGTTAAAAACAATTTTTAAGCATTAATAAGAAAGTTTTCCTGTGTTTATTCAATCTGCGATTTAATTCTCTCTCGTTTTGAGTAATCAAAATGCACATTTGAACACAGCTATTTCCACTCTTCCTAACTTCAATGCTGGGAGTACTTCATAGATGAACTTCTTATCTTGCTAGATGATTACGGTATTGCTATAGTCGTCTCAGCTGGAAATCAGATCCTCACGATAAATATTACATACCAAACATTATTATTGTTGGAGTGACAGATGACAAAGGCCACCGGGCAGATTTCAGTCAATATGCTGATTGGATGACCACATTTGCTGCTGGGAAAGATGTCTGAGGTCCGCGCTTTGATCATGGCGGCTATTTCTTAGACGATGGAACCTCTTATTGTAAGTTTACAGTCTGCATACGATATCTACCAAACTTCGAGATAGCCAATTGCTGTGAATAAAAGTTTGTAGTTTACAATGTTTTTTAAACTCTAGCTGCCCCTCTGGTGTCTGGTTTAATAGGATACTATCGATCATTACCATCCCCTTGGAAACAACAACTACAGTTTCCTGCCAATGTGAAGAAGATGATTAAGATTTTTCATCGCCACATTGTTGTCCATAATGAACAGATAGTTGATCAAGAGATGAAACCCATCATCTGGATTGCTCAGGTTGGAGAATTTTCCTGTTTATCGCACTATGAGACACTTGATCAATGGGACCACGGAGGGGTCTGCCCAAGGATAAAACTTAAGCTTGTAGAGGAAACAAATGATGGGGAAACTGTGAGCCCTTGCTGATATGACCTAGGACTTTGTAATTCATCAAAGGAATTTGATGGCTCTTATTGTCCTCTTCTTCCCCGCGCCGGCCCGAGCGGTCATACTGTCGGCTTCACTAACAATGGTGGAGCAAAGTCATCACCTACATGCGCACCTGGGACCCGTTGTGGCGGCCACTTATGTACGGGCTTCTTCTGTTCACCAATGCCAACAGGGGTGCTCCCAGACCGCCATGACCCAAAGGACCCAAATGCAAGCAATCGAGTACCGACGACCACCGGGCCCGGTGACCCGGAACCCACATGCAATGACAAATGCAAGCTGGATAAGAGCAATCCATGCAAATGCAATGAAAACGGTTGTGACTCTGAATCGCCTGGCTGCTGTGGCAATGCCAGTTGTCCAATGTGTGAGTGTGGGGACAACAGCTGCTCCCCCAGCTCACCAGCCTGTTGCAAGACTGAAACATGTCAGTGGTCATGGACTGGTGGAGGCGGAGGTGACGGAAGCGGGAAACCTGTTGACCCGCTTCTGGAAAGTGTTCCTTTAGAACTCAATAAAGAGGCAGATGTGTGCAACAGCACGCCTCTTATACTTGTAGACGCGTCTTCATACCCAGAGAATCGCCCTCATTACCCTCCATCGATGGAATTTACAGTGGTGGCGGGGAAGAGGTGCAAATACACAGGAGACTCAAATGGGGCAGGCATTCTGAAGTGCGATGGGTCCAAACACTCTCCTTGCAAGGCCAGAGGTCTAGATGACAAGAAACGTGTTTAGTACCACTGCCGGGCTCAACCCAGTCAACCTACTACCTGGCTGTGGATTGTAATTTCTAGGTTGCGGGTGGTCAAGTACGAACAACGGTTAGGGAAAGAAATGAAGACCCTCACCCAGCAAGATGGCAAGAAAAGGTGTGGTTTTTGTAAGCCTTTTGAAAATGAAATGAAATGAATGGCTTTCTGGCTGAGGGAGAACTTTGAATCCACACTTTATTATCAGTCTGTAGAGAAGCAGCAAGGCTGGTTTCCAGCATTACAATTCAAAATAAGTTGTAGTTGCAATCCCTCACACAATGGTCAAATGGGGGGTGTATGTAGTAGGCTGAATATGAGTCACTTAAATCAGATTGATGAAGTGACTATCTTAGGAAAGCTTGTGGAAGTGGTAGTTAGAGTTGAAGCACAACTCAACTCAAGAATCCCTTCCCTCTACTATCGAACCGACACTCTGCAGTGCAGTAGGTCTCGACCTTATCGGCGTGGGCAGAGAGAGCATGATTGGCAAACAATCGGCCATGATAGTTGAACCGTCCCCTCGCTTGGCGGGCATGTATACCATAGACCCTGCGAGGTGTGTTGTTCCATCGCTTGTGTCATTGCCTTCACGGCGGAGTCCTCAAAGTGCCAGAGGTTCGCTGATAACAACCACTCGGCAACCAGCATGCGCTATCTACCACTAGGAAACCCAAACGGCTTAATGGTCACCGACCTGTGCGTGCATGATAGGGGCATCCAAAGTCGAGGCTAGTGCAGCTGGAACAATCGATCGAAAAAAGACAATTGAGGAGAGGTTGTGGCTTGTAGTGTACCCTATCCTATCTACATGTACCGTAGTTACATGTATATGTACATACATACTGTACAGTAGTTACATGTAACATTAATAATAATTAGTGAGCTCTGGGTACAAAGGCCTGGAAGTGTATACAGAAAACTTGACCTCGCTAATAAGTATGGCATGAACCGATGAGTCAACTGTTTGGAAGTTTTTGCCAATGGTTTGAGAAGAATCTAAAACAACATTCTACCCAGCCCATAATATACTTAGCAAATTATTACTTTAAATCAGTTTGAGCTCTGCCTTCCACACTTGCAGCTTTCTCTTCCAGCTTCGCTGTGTCCCCAACATCATCAGCTGAAACTATGTGAATTTCCATCCAGATATGCGGGTGTGTGGTATAAAGTGATCAGTGGCAACTGAAGCGAGCAGGAGAATTATTTGGTCATTTGGCTCCAAATAAGGATTTGAAAGTGCAGTAGATCCCCAGTTGAAACAGTAGACTTGTATGAAGATTACAGACATGCTGCCCCGTCACGGCGTCCCTCTTCTGATGACGCTAAATCCTTTATAGAAGGTCACAAGACTACCTAGGGAGGGCACCGACCACAGGCATGGGCACTCACCGTCACTCACAGCATCGATTGAACGGCGTCAGCGGCGCCGATCTTCCTGAGCGGCTCTGTTACACTTCTGACTGTTGAGGAATTACTTGTATAACGAACACGATTGAAGAAGTGTAGAAGTGATTTGGCCGATCAATTGTAGGTGTCGTCGGAGGTTTGGGGTCTTTAACTGTTGGTTGAAGTTGGCAAGCGTGGGCTAATTAATACCACACGCAGCAAGCCTCGGATATCACGTGTTACAGGAGTAACTACCCATCCATCCAGGACTGCCGCTCTCTCCCCTCCCTGGCGTCCTTCATGTTTCCAACAGCCGGACAGTTGGCCCCAGCAACAATCATTTCCGGATAAGCATGTGAGATAATTCTGCGATGCGATTATAAGAACTCCTGCTCTTTCGGTCCTCGGTGCTCTATAGAGATACCAAAAAGTTGTGATTCATCACCATATGCCTTTTTCAGCAGCCTTCAGCCCATCCCGCAAGCGTCAGCATCCTGGGTCACATTACAACACTTCGCGATATCAGTTGAAAAGGCAGAAGCTCAGCGAGTCATCAGCGTATTGGGATAACCTGTCAAAGATTTGGTTAACCAAAGAAGCACTAAAAGAGCTGGACCGAAGAAACAGTCGCCCGAGACCAACCCAGAACCATCATAATCAACGATATCTCACTGAACTCAACAAAGGCTGTGAACCTGTTCAGTTTGCTCCTGATTTTCTCCACGATTGTGCCCCCAGTTGTTTAAAGCAGATAAAAAGGATTTCAAGACTGGGAGGACCTGACCTGTCTGACCTTAGAAATGTATGTAACTGCAAATCCACACACACACACATATCCATGCTTATTATTTTAATCCAGTATCCCAAACCCCAAAATTTCTGCGATCAACCAATGAACTCAAACAAATCAAGTTCTCGTAGTAGAAAGCGGCGCGCAGAATCTCCTCCATCACAAACTGGTGATACCAAAGGCACCACAAAGTCCACAAGCACCACAGCCTATAGTCGGAACTTCCAGCAGCACCTAATTGATCATGGAGTCTATCCACCGGAATATAGGTATCCAGACCGTCGCAAGCCATCAAAACCAAGTAACTGGACAGAGATCAATGAAAGACTAGCACAACCAAGAGCTTCACTTTCACCCTCAAAGTTTTCTGAAGATCACTTTGAAGACTTCCAAGAAGTGGATGCATATGCATCTAAGAAGAAACCAATTACAACTTCAGTTATACCCATTCTTGATGGTGATGTTGGTGATGCTAAGTGTGTTGAAGGAGATTATCTCTTTGGAAATCTTGCTCCTTTAACTGATGGCACACTGGCTTGGGCCAAACCAGATCACTTCTACGGCGCGCGTCCTGAACAGCTTGATCATCAAATCCGCAACAAACTTAGTGATCATATCATTCCATCAATGCAAGATGACCTTCCAATGGTACCAAACTTCTTTTTGGAAGCAAAAGGCCCTGATGGATCCTTGGCTGTGGCTACACGGCAGGCTTGCTATGATGGCGCACTAGGCGCTCGGGGTATGCATGCTCTCCAGTCATATCAACAAGACAGATCAACTTATGACAACAGTGCTTACACTCTTTCATCGACTTATCATGGCGGTACACTCAAGCTATACACAACTCATCTCACTGAGCCTGAAGGCCCAGGCCGTCGCCCTGAGTACATTATGACCCAGCTCAAAGGCTGGTCACTGACCAGTGACCTGGGAACCTTTCGGCAAGGAGCATGCGCATATCGAAATGGTCGGGACTGGGCAAAGGAAAAGAGGGATGAATTTATTAGGACAGCAAATGAAACAAACTCAAAGGCTCAATCTCTGCTTCTTCATTCAACATCTCATAGTCAGACAGCTTCCGAGGCAGCTCCTACCATGGATGACTCTGATGTATCGACATTGTCTGACGATGCGGAGCATTCGAATGCGCAATGGAGCTTCGCAGCCACAACAGAAGGAGAAGAAGAGATTCTTAGCAGAAATACCAAGAAGCCGAGAGTTAGTTCCATTGGTCAAGCAGCGGGTAACAAGACTACCTAGGTACTCAGTGTCCGAATTGATGACAAATAGGGCTTATCATGCATAGGGGGTGAGGACGATGACTACTCTCCTGGCACCAGGGACCTGATCTCTCGAATGGAAAATCACTAGCAGCGGTTAGCTTCCTCCTCCCTCTGTACCGCGCCTCCCCCACCCCCTTGATCCAAGACTGATAGAGAAACCATCTTGCGGGAAGAAAGAGGCGGAGCCATCCGCGGACCCCAAGTGGCGGGACCCGATCGACGCGACCTATACCGGTTCCTCAACTGGCGGTTCGGACTGAAGTTGGGGAAGGGAGGCCATTGACTGAAGGGGATGAAGAATATGAAGACATGGAACCGCCTTCCTACAGGTACAGGAAACAGGTCCGCGAGGACTTAGACAACAAGCATACTGTGATCGGGCATCGAACGGCAGCTCTCCGGCATGGCGTTGGACGAAGAGGCAAAGGAGACGCTGGAGGAGGAATAGATGCTCCCGGCGCAGATCCATCTCCTCTCAATGCTCCCGACGTGGCCGACATCCAGATCAGTGGAAGGAGCTGCGGCAGCGACAGCGACAGTGTTGTGCTGCAGATCAACTTGAGCAAAGATATGCCGCGATTTCCCAAACCCGTTGATTGAAGGTGGCGGAGTGACCAACGGAGGGGTGGTTGATGAATCCTCGAATCAATGTTGGAGATGACAAGGGATGCGGTGGTACATGGTGAAATGGAAAGGCTACGACCCTTTTTGGCAACCTGAACATTTACTGAATGTAAGGAGTTGGTCCATGAGTTCCACGCTAAATTGGGGACGGTAGAGAGCCATGTCTCATCTATGCAATTGCGAACGGCATGGAAAAGCCAATGTGTTGCAAGAACAAGGTTGCTGTCTGTCAAAGCTGAGTGCCACCTATGTCATGCGTTTGGCCGGGTTGGGAATAACATCCCCTTTCAAACCTTTTTCGCTGACCCCAATGCCCGGCTGGCCTCCTTGTTTATTCCATTTTTCTTTTCATGGAAGAATTTCCACCTCTCGCGCTCAGGTGACATCATTACAAGATTATGTGGAACCAGCACTTTTTCCAGTGCATTTTTTTAATAACAAAGAAATTTTCTCCCAGATGTCTGGTGCGTAACATTTGGGTGCCGGTATGCATTATTTCTATGTTCAAGGCTTTCTTTTGTCTTTACATTTGATCTTCGGTAACTGATGACGAGATGAGTCACTTAATCAATTACACGTGCCTACGCTAAAAACTCATCACATCCGTGGGTGGGTGCGCCTCACCACAATGTTATTATCATCATAACATTACTTTCGACTAATTCATCTATCATCTCATTACAAGCATCAAATGCTCGCTTACGCTCGCTTTGCTGCTTGCGCAGCCCCCTCTACCACTTCCACCCCTCCCCCCCTTTACCCCTTAAAAGGGATCACTCCTTCTATGAGAGCTAATCACTATAAACAATCACTGGGCAGATAGGGGGGCACGCCCCAACCCCCCATCTTTTAGACAA